AATACCCATCCAATGCACCGTAGGTCGTGGTCGGACGTTCGTGGCTGGGGGCTGTGGTGCGTTGTAGTTAAAATGCGTGTGAATGGAGGCGGCACGATGTCATAGCGCACGTTACCATGCATGATCTATGCAAACAAGTTTCCAAGTGGAATAGGAGGGTGGACTTCAAGGGTGTAGTAGCGCAGGGAAGTAGGACTCATGTAACAGGCCTCCGCGAGAACGGAGGTAGCATCCAAGTGTCCTTGCGTTTGTGCGTAGATGCGCACGTTCCTCCGAGCAAACCCACTGCACCCTGATGCTCCACCATGTCAGTGGTCCACCAGAAAGTGCCGTGGATGGTGAGGACCAGAGCTAGAGCTGACCACCAAAGGCCAGCTCCGCTACCAAGTTTGACGGGGGGCTGGGAGGCCCAACCAGAAGCTTCGCCTAAAGCGAAGCCTATATACAACTCTGTTGTACCGTAGTTGCGATAGCCCCAGAAGTTGGGAACCGTCGCGGGAGCGACGGGCCATGTCAAGCGAATCTGTGTTCGGTATCAGTGGCAAGTAGTGTACCTCGCGATGAGGCGCAGTCACATGTTGGCGGCCGGCCGCTTGAGCACAAACGGCCGCGGACAAACGCTCGCTATATTTCGCCTTTGCCCCAGCCTCCTTTAGAATGTTTACCCCTCCGGAAGGGGCGCCCCGCGGGGGGTTAGAGCGTCCAAGATGCCCCAAGATGGCTCCCAGAGGGCCGCTGAGAGCGCAAGGTCGCATCCAAGATAGCTCCAGATGGCTCAGGATGGGTCAAAATAGTCTCCGACACACATAAGAAGCCCCAATACGACCCCAAAACGGCTCCAAGTGCTCTTCGAGCCCTCCAAAGACCCCCCAAAGATGCCGAAATGGCTCCAAACCCCATGGGACAATACATGTTGTTTCCCTTTTCGCCTTTTCGCTGCCGATGAGCTCTTGAGACATCAAGACGGCCCCAAGGCGGCCCAAGAAAGCCCCAACAAGGGCTCAATACGGCCCCAAGGCAGTCCCAAGACCGCCCCAGAGCGCTCCAAGAGCGCCCCAAGAGGTCCTCAAGATGCCATGGTTGAGCCTCCCAGGGGCGGGGGGGGGGGGGGCGAATATCCCCCCCGCCTCTTTCAAACTCATGGGGGCCAATATGGCGCCAAGAACCCTCACATAACCCCTGGCAAAACCCTAAAAGGACCCCAAGAAGGCCCCAAGAGAGCTCCAAGAAGGCCTCAAGAGACAAGAGTGCCCCAAGAAGCACCGCAAGAAAGATGACTCCAAGAAGCCTAGAAAGAGAAATCGCTTCCAAGGCTGTTCTTGCCCTGCACTCTTGAACGTCGGTACGTCCGGGGCGCGGTCCTCACCAATTTTACAGCGAACAACAAACTAGAGCGCGGGGTCAAACCTAAGCTGCCTAAGCCGCCGAGCTGCGCTGCGGCGACCTGGGGAGGCCAGGGCCAGGACGTCGGAAGCGGTCCACCATCACCGACATGCATCAAATTGCCAGGCCAAACTGAATCAGGTTGGTGGGGACATGCAGGAATCGCAGGCCAGGATGCCGATGCGAGTAGCTTCCACACATTATTTGCCACAAATTTAATGAGTTGTGCCAGGGTGAAGAATCCAGGAACGGCTGACGGCCGTCTGCACATGCGTAGCAGGAGACCGAAACCAATCCAGGAAAGGCATAGCGAGCAGGGCAAAGCATAGCACCCGAAGGCGAGGAACGGCTGACGGCCGTACATACGCGTGTAAACCAACCCCAACTGAACCAGGCTGATACCATGCAGAACTGCCGGTGCAAAACGGCAGCGTGAATGCGCTGGTGGGGACACGCGAAGCGTCAATGTTTGGATCCTACTAAGGCTCGATCAGGCTCTACTAGAATCCTACTATAGCTGGATCCGATTAGAATAGAAACCTAGCCAGAATCCACCCAGCTCCAATACAATCCAACTTTAGCGGGATCCCACTCTGATTTGATCCTGCGAAGGGTCGACCCAGCTCTCATGGAATCATATTGTAGCAGGATCAAGTTCCAACTGGAATCTGCTTCACTAAGGCTGGATCCAGCCTTCGTAGCATACGACTAAGGTTCGATCGTCGTCGTCTTCGCTGTCCGACGGCGCCCGTGCCGGCGACGGCGCTCGCCGTCGTCGGCTGCAACAGGGGACGGAGGGCCTCCACCCACCCACAGCCCGAACCCCCCCACCCCCTTGCAATTCAGGGCGCGATGGAGCCCCTAAGAGGGGGGGGGGCCCTCCCGGTTGTTCGAGCCCCCTCCTTCCCATCGTCCACAGCACGCGCCCTTGTCTACGGTAACTCGAGAAACGAATGCAACGTGGACTGTGCGGCAAACATTGGACCATGTGCGGGCGCGTGACCAGCGTTGGCTTTTGACAGCCCAGTGGCGCGTAGCTACCATGTCGTGGCTCCATGTTTCTGCTGGCAGGCGGCACTACATCCAATACAAAAACCAATGCAAAGAGACCGAGGAC